TATATACGTACAGTCAGCACACTACCAGTGTACAATTCCTAAGTCTTTTTACTTTATATCGCTCACAACCATTCCACAATACTTGAACAAAATTTATCTTCAGTTGTCACTAGGCTTGAATTTCACACTCTGAACAGAAACGGACAACTAGCTTCCTCTAGGCAGCTCGCTGCCACTTATATTCGTCTGGTCGGATGCCTAGAGCATTATACTGTATCACATAGTTTGCACGAGAGATAAAAATGTTAGTCCTTTAGTGTATTACATTTGAGTACAGTAAAGCCTCGAATAACGACGGAAATGTGTCCTCCAATATTGCAGTGTAAGGTGAATAATCGTATCATGAATCATTAATTACCATTAAAATAAAGCAATAATAATGATATGCGTTCCCATGTGTGACCTTTTCATATCTTTTGTGTGGCTTTTTACCCTCTTTTTCAAATAAACAATACAGTACAATTAATGAAAAATGCAAACTATATTCTTTAAATAATGTTTCTGAATGCTCCTTATATAATATAAATAAATAATAATAAGATCACACAAGAGGAGATGGGACGCTATTGTTGTTGTCAGTGTTTGCACCCATAATGTCAGTTACCCACTTGAAACTGAAGAAAACAAGACCCTGGTTGTTGCTGTAGTAAAATTAACGGAAAAAATATGTATATTTTAATTAATGTTATTTAATGTACAGTAAAAGTAAACACTGATATTAAAGAAAAAAAAGAGTGATAGTGGAAAGGCAATGTATACCTACGGCCTCAAGGAAACGTGTCATTTATCTTATTAAGAATATGTACAAAACATTCATTATTGTATTACTAAATATGTATTTGATTGAGTTAATGTTTATACCCTGTATATGCAAAATGAGCAATGCAATTCATAGAATATTAAAACACACAAAAGGAGACGAGACGGCATTGTTTTCCTGACTGTTTACACCCGTGAGTCCGTGACAATGGTTCTACTTAAGAAACTGAAGAAAACAAGACCCTGGTTGTAGCTGTAGTAAAATGGATGCAAAAAATTTAATACAGTGGTCCCTCGGTTAACGAAAGTTTCGATTAACGAAATTTCGGTTCACGAATTAGCTACAATAAGGATTTTCAGTTCGATTAACGAACAAAACTTCGATTAACAAAATCTTTATGACAAGCACGTTCTGTTGTGCGCATCAGCTGATAAGCTGATCGGCTAGTCCACCAATACAGTAATTGGTTCTATGTTTACATTCGTTTCCAGTGAAGTAAATATCAAGAAAGTTGGTCTCTTGAATATTTTTGCATTTTTTATATTAAAATTGATAATATAGACAGTACAGTACTGTACAGTGATCCCTCGGTTAACGAAATTTCGGTTAACGAATTACCTTCCATAAGAATCTTCAACTCGATTAACGAACAAAACTTCAGTTAACGAAATCATTACGAAATCGTGTCAATATGTTTTTGCCTGCTCACCAGCTGTAGTATTAGTCTGCCAATACAGTAATCGGTTTTAGGGCTTAAATTCGTTACCATTTGAGCAAATATCAAGAAGGTTGTACTATTCAATAATTTTCCAAGTCTTATATCAACATTTTTAGTAATTTTAACAATTATTTAACATAATTGAAGTACAGTCATGCACCGGTTAACGTCCAACCGAACAACGTCCGATCGCATATACGTCCGTGCCCCCCCCCCAAAAAACACTTCCGTGACGCCTGCTGGACCACCACTCCACGACCCCCTGACAGAGACACGATGCTCCTTCCCATACTGGCCAGATATTGTGTGTTAAAGGAATATCCTTCCTTAGGCTTTAGTAAGCATTTGCCTCCAGGTGTAATGTTAACCTACATCTATTGAGGATAAAATCTTTCACCTACAAATTGACAATAACACATTTGCTGTAATCAGACATATCTAGTTGCCTCAACAATTGCAACCCCAGTTGCACCCCCAGTTGCAATTGGGGTTGCTATTTCAAATTCTGTGTCATTACTAAGGAATAATGAAATCTCTGGTGCACTCTAAGGTTAAGAGAGAAAACGGAGGACTCAGGCGTCATGAAGCGAGAGAAAACGGACTCCTATGATGGGGGACACAAGCACTCACACGTGCCACTCATACTGACAGACTTGACACTCACTCACTTGACAAGTTTTACCAACCATTAGTTGTGTACATTATCTAGTGAATTTAGTCAATATTGTACAGTACAAGAACACTGTAATACAGTGGTCCCTCGGTTAACAATGGACCTAAGTGCAAACCTGTACTGTACATGTACTAAATGATTACGGTACTAAAATTGTTATGTCTATTGCAAATATAGATTTGTTTATACATGTATTCAAATAAATCACTATCTTACAAGAATCCCAGCAATGTAAGTTATAGTCACCCAGGTCGATTGGGTGGCAAATTATGAGAGGAGCTTAGTCACTCTTAAGGAATGATAAACACGCAGGCCTTCAGTGCCAACTGTCAAATCATATCGCCTCACCTCCCGCTCCCCTCCCCCCCCCCCCACGCGGTTTTAGGCCAGGCAATGTGACCTGTGGATGACGAGAAGGAGAATCTCATGACCCCAACTCAGACTCTTCCGAGTCTAATTAAGGTAAGGTTTAGGGTTAAGTTAGGTTAGGTTTTGGGGTAACTATTCAATTTAGCACATCCACAAATTGCATAGAAGCACTTACTTCTAGGCAATTTTTACCTCATATATACAATCCTCAACCCTTAAAGCCTCTTGGAAATGTGTTTCTTTAAGAAAATCACACAAGTGAAGAATGCCTAAGAAATTAGATAAATAAATCTCCACCCGCCATTTCTTGTCCCACCATGAGTTGTCTGGAGCCGTATGGCGTGTCACACTGCTTGCCTCCGCAGGGGTTAGGTGAGGTTAGGTTAAGTTAGGTTAATTAAGTGAACGTTAGGGGACTAGATGTTTGGTTTGTGATGTATTTGGATGTACCTGTATTTTGTTCAGATCTCACCTTCATTTTTTATAGAAAATACTGTTTTTGATCAAGGATGACTTGCATCTTAAAAAAAAAAAAATGCATTTCCCATAGAAAGGAAGGTCCAATCTGCACAAAATACAATCAGAAATCAAACATCGGTGAAAAAATTTGAGGGTGTGGTAAAACAAATAATTACTGGTTTGGGATTATTGACCTTCATTTCTATTGCAAATTACTACATTTTTGTGATTTTCCCCCCCACCCAAAAGCCCATTTTTATTTTTTTTGCAATTTTATCTGAAACTAATCACGAGCGGAAGATATATAGAAGATAACGGTTTTACCGATGGTTTTTTGTGTGTTTTGAACACTTTTACCCTTATTGTTTGCAACCACCTTACCTAACAAAAATAAGACAAATTTCAGTGAATTTACAAGAATATACCAGTCTTTCTCTCGCTGTTTTGAATGTGTATTCCGTAATGTTTAGACAATTCTAAGACATTTATCTTCTATGATATTTCCACCGGAAATTAAGGATAACCGAGATATTAATTTTTCAATATTATTAAATTTGCTCAGTCACAAGTTTACATCTGGCGGAGAAGGTCTGACCCCCCTTCACACAGTGCTCCTTACCTCCGTGTTAGCTTCTTAAGCGTCTACAGCGCATGTGCAGGGGTGGTGTGGGAGTTTCTTATTGGCTATAGAGATAGGAGACTTATTATTGGGCAAGAGTTTTTGTCTTAGCCAATAAACAATGCGTGGGTGCGTCAGGAGCGGAGATTAGAATAACTGAATTTTCAGTACCAAATATGGCTGAACAGGTGGAAGAGATGTGCCGACATTGTGATAGAGATTATTTTAAGTTGATTGCTGAGTTTCATCAGAAAAATAGTGAGGCAATTTCTTTTTTATAGAAAAGACAGTGTATTACCGAACGTTATTTGTCCAAAGTGTAATAATCAGTGCACACTGCGTGAAGAACAACACATTTGGTGGTGTCACCACAGTTTTCTTCAGTCGAACAGTAGGAAACGGCAAAGGTGCAGCCAAGGTTAGGTTAGGTTAGGTTTGGTCAGGATTTGTTTTGGTTGGTTGGTTGGTACTTTATTTGTGATTTACTATAAAAAAAATCCAACTTGTTCCCTTAGGATTGTTGACAGGGGAGGGGGGAGAGGGTATTTAAAAAAACCTGTGATTTCCGGGGGTAATTATATAGGACTAACCCAAAGCAAAACCGATTGAAAACAATTAGAAAAAAACGGGATTTTCATTGTTATTTTATAGTGGACACTGTTGTAGTTTGTTAAGAAATGGATATTTTTAAAATAAACGCTACTTAACATTTGTGGTTATGAAGAGCAGACCTAGCCAACCAAACCAAACAAACCTATCTAACATTACCTAACTTCCCGGTATATTAAACAGAAAGAACTTAATATGATATGGTGAAATTTGAGGCATTTTCTGGACGCGAGATGATACGACCGCATCGGCGCTATGCATCTCTGGCGGGTTAGTCCTATATATTAACCTTCTGGCGGAAATTAATATCAAATTCGTTCAAAACTCATAAAATATCATAGGAAATACATATTTCTAATATCCCCCCCAAAAAAGAACGGTACACTACTATAAACTGACCCAAATTTCTTCTATGACACTTTCTGCGCTGATCAACACTGAGAGGAGTCCGAGGTCAGGATTTTCATGGTTTTTATGGTTAAAATAGGTTAGGTTAAGTCCTTCCCTCATCCCTGTCATGATTCTTCGAAAACATATTTATGGAAAAATCGAAACCTGGCTACTTTCATAAACTGTCCGATTCTGAGATGGGAAAGGGGGCTCGGTTATCTCAGAAACTATTGATTTGGGCCAGAAATGAAGGTCAAATTCGTTCTTAACACATCAAAACTACAGGAAAAAGTTTCCACTTTGATTTCGTATAGTAGCAACAAGCGAAGATTTACAAAATACTTTGTAACTTAATATATATCCCAAATGAGTAACAAATGATAAGCTTAATAGTTATTCTTACCTCGGCAGCACACTGTGTTACAATTCCAGTAAAAATTAAGATTAATGTCACTCGCTCCGCCATGACTGTTTTCCTGCAGTCTCATGTGTCCGTTTGGTGTAGACAGACAGACAGTAGATATTCTATTACCGATTACAGTTAACACAAGAATTGAATGCAGTTATAAGTCTTCATAAATAATAATAATTTATATAATTTAAATATTCGTACTTATTTTTCTGAGAATTGTGTGTTTCTTGGCAAATTAAAAAAAGAAGAAAAATACCCGCAACCGAACAAAACCAGCTGATTTTCCCCAAGGATTCTAAGACTACATGAGGATACATCACTCAATGTTATCCTAACGTGATGGTCGCGTCGCTTACCGGCCGGAAAGTAAGAAATAAATAAAAATATGAAGCCCAATACGCTTTACATGATTTTTATTGTGCGATAACACCAGATTAATCAACTTTAAATATATAGGGATAATTTCTTACATGAAAATTCCAGGTGCTTTGAAATAGAGGCAAATTATCGGGCAAAACATAAAATATGACCAAATGAAACCTAATGAAAGTTGATATTTTGTATACCCTTTATAATCTACAGTCTACCCAATGAACGAGGGCTCGTTAGCCGCTTGGGCGGTTGGTCACATCTCTGTTACGCACTTTTACAAAGTATTGGGCATATACTGACTCCAGAAAAACGCACGATCAGATCCAAATTTAGAACATTTGTGATGAGGCTGTGAACTTGTCAGCTCCCCTCATGAAGTGGGGAGGCTAGGCAAGGAGAAAGGCGGGAGAGTGGGACTCGCCCCCTCAGTAGCACACTAGTGAATTAGGATAAGAACTGGGAATTTTCGGAAGTTATTTTGCAAGCAAAAAACTTGAAAGGGAGAGAAGCATTTCGGGATATATCCATAAGCTCAGATCGCACGGTAATGCAGAGGGAACAGCACAAAGAACTCCTGAAGTTCTTAAAACAGAGGAGTAAGGATTCGAAGGGGCGAGGGGGAAGATGTGGATGAGTTATATACAAGGGGAAAGTAGTGGAGGCCGACCTTAGACCATGAGGCGTAGGCTGTGGAATTCGAAAGAGGTCGGCTAGTCAGCGACAAACGGTAGTTGTAGTTGTAGGGGAAATATCCACTACAATACTCCCCCTTCCCCCCAGGTGGTGCAGGAGACTAGTTGTCTGCAGGGTTGTATCCCACATGTGAAACATAACGGGCGAGGGTGTGGATGAGCCGGGAGCTACGGGAGACAACTTTGTCTAGAGACACGAGATCTGTGGGAGGAACAGAGGGAGAAGGAGGGTTGTGGATAAGAGAAGGTTGTACAGGCGAGGAATGTGGTGTTTCTCTAGCAGCAGGTACAGAGTCCTCAGTGGCGCCGGGTGGGGTGTCTGGGTCCATAGGGCCGGCTGCGGGGTCGTCAAGAGCAGTAGTTACCTGAGGAAGAAAAGAGGGTGCCCAGAAATGTTGTGGACGAGGTGGTGCTGCAATGGGTGATGGTGGGCAGACTGGCGGAGGAGGTGCGGGATGAATGTGTTCAGGGCGGTGGGAAGGCTGGCGTGGAACAGTAGCCTTGAATGCAGAAACCGCCTGACATAGTGTTTGTAGTAGGTCGTGACAGGCAGCAGGAGTGAAGTGGTCAAGGTCAGAAGTAAGGCGTGTGATGGAGGTTATGGCACCTACCCGTCTCCGTCGATGTCGCTCCACCGTGTGGTTGCAGGGAGCCTCACCGTGTCTAGCGTTAGCACCAAAACGTTGATGGTACCCACAAGGGGTAGATAAACTGTACTGGGGGCTGGGGGCGGCGTCTGAGGCAGGACGGGTGTGTTGGGGTCGGTAGAACGTGGTGCTTGGGGCAGGAAGAGGAGCAGCTGCATGCTTGGAGGAGCAGAGCTGCTCTAGGGTGTCTAACCTGCAGTGTAGGGACTGTAGCTGTAGAGCCAATGAGAGCTGCCTCAGTGTGGATAAGCCAGTCTTCCATGTTGCTTGAAGACTGGGAGCGTGATCAGTTTCTCCTCCATCCTGTGTGAGTGCGATTCACCTGGGGTCACCATTTGTGGGGCTTCGTGATGTTGTCTCACATTCAGAATGGGTTGGAGAAAGGAAACTCACAATGTGCTCTCTGTATATATATTGTATTGGATATACAGTGCAGCTTGGTGCTGGGAAGTTGCAGCGTGGTTACAAGCGTGGAGTAGACACCTGGTCAGTGAGGCGCGTACTCAGAGGAGGTGTTGCGTGCAGCGTGGCTGTAGGTAGAAGAAGAAGGGCAGGTCACGGCGAGGTGAGGTCTTATACAGCGGAGGTAGGCGTGGCTTAATAGCTGACCTCCGCTTTGTTAGGCGGAGCTCGTAGCCGACCTTAGACCACGAGGCGTAGGCTGTGGAATTCGAAAGAGGTCGGCTAGTCAGCGACAAACGGCAGTTGTAGTTGTAGGAGAAATTTCCACTACAATCTCAAGGAACTTGTGTTTAAGTAACTAAACAAGCTTGAAAAAGAGCCGTTGTACTGTATAAGTTAAAAGTGAAGTGTTAGGCAAAGACTATATACGAAAGATAGGAAAGTGACTTATTTTACTTTTATCCTCTTCGCTACTGATCGGCTCGCTAGCCGCTTGGGCGATCGGTCACGTCTCTGTTACGCACTGTTGGCAAGTACTGGGCATGCACTGGCTCCTGAATGTACCTGAACCTGCTCCAGTGTTGGTCAAGTCTTGTCTTGAAAGAGCTCACACTCGGTGCCGTCACAACACTGTCTGGTAGATTATCCCGGTAAATTTGTATAAGTGCACCCTACTCTGTTAGAAAGTAAAAAATATATTTTTCTAGTGTATTTGTGTGTTTAGGTCGGTTATGACCTTCATTTCCGTCGGAAATTGGCCTTTTTTTTTCGATTTTTTTTCGTGGGGCTTTTTCCGAAAAAAAATAATGGCTAAGCGAATACAAGATACAAAAAAAAAAAAATAGAAAAACAAAAACCTGACCTAACCTAACCCTAACTGACTCACCATATGATGGAATCACTTATTTCTTACCTTATTGGCCGTCTCTTCTCTGTATTTGGGATAAGGAACGAGTTACCACAATGCCACATATGTTGGTCTTGACGATATTTACATTCGTTCTTGCACTTAGAACACTTTACTGAGGTCGGGAGAACACCATGAGATCGAAAAAATGCTATAGTATCCTCGTTTCTTTTTCTCAAAACTCACAATCGGCTCCATATAATTGAAGTGATACTGTGGGGAACAGGTTGTTTGGTTCACACTCAGGATGGGATGGAGAAAGGAAACTCACAATGTGCTCTCTGTATACATTTTGTATTGGATGTACAATGCAGCTTGGTGCTGGGAAGGCAGCATGGTTACAAGCGTGGTGTAGAGAGAGCTGGTTGGTGAGAATGCTCAGAGGAGGACAGCTTGTGGGTCGCCATGCTCGTCGGCGGGAGCGAGGGCCGCCAGGCAGCGGCGGAGGAGGTGGTGTTGCTTGCTGCGGCTGTAGCTAGAAGAAGAGAGAGGTAGGTCACCACGAGGTCAGGTCTTAAATAGCGGAGGTAGGCGTGGCTTAGTAGTTGACCTCCTTTATGTAAGGCGGCGCTGGTTGACCCAGACCACGAGGCATACACTGGGGAATTCGCGGGGTCGGCTACTCAGCAACAAACAGCGTTTGTAGGGGAGAAATCCACTACAGTACTCCCCCTTCCCTCCAGGCGGTGTTGGAGACTTGTTGTCTGCAGGGTTGCATGGCACATGTGAGGCAGAACGGGCGGTGCATGCCACATGTGAGCCATAACGGCGATGGCGTGGATGAGCCGGCCGCTAGAGACAATTGTCTAGATACACAATATCTGTGGGAGTAGAGAGGGAGAAAAAGGGTGTGTGGAGGCGATGAATGTTGTGCTTCCCTCACGGCAGGTACAGAGTCGTCAGATGTGCCTGCTGGGGTGTGTGGGCCTGGATCAGGAGCAGGGCCTGCATCAGCAGAAGAGGATGAGGGCTCGTGACAGCAGCTGGGTCCACGACAGCAGCAGGGTGCAGGACAGTAGCAGGGAGTACCTGAGGGAGAAAAGAGGGGTGTGTGGGTCCGCACTCAGGCGCATGGGCCGAGTCGGGAGCAGGGGCTGCATCAGGAGGAGCGGCAGGGGGTACTGCTGGGCCGGGGGCGGCGTCTGAGGCAGGACGGGTGTGCTGGGGTCGGTAGGACGTGGTGCTTGGGACAGGAAGAGGAGCTGGTGTCTGCTTAGAGAAGCAGTGCTGCTCTAGGGTGTCTAACCTGCGGTGTAGAGACAGTAGCTGTAGAGCCGATGAGAGCTGCTCCTGGGTGGATAAGCCAGTCTTCCATGTTGCTTGAAGACTGGGAGCGTGATCAGTTTCTCCTCCATCCTGTGTGAGTGCGATTCTCCTGGGGTCACCATTTGTGGGGCTTCGTGATGTTGTCTCACATTCAGAATGGGTTGGAGAAAGGAAACTCACAATGTGCTCTCTGTATATATATTGTATTGGATATACAGTGCAGCTTGGTGCTGGGAAGTTGCAGCGTGGTTACAAGCGTGATGTAGAGAGAGCTGGTTGGTGAGGATGCTGAGAGGAGGACAGCTTGTGGGTCGCCATGCTCGCCGGCGGGAGGGAGGGCCGCCAGGCAGCGGCGGAGGAGGAGGTGTAGCTTGCTGTGGCTGTAGCTAGAAGAAGAGAGTGGTCACCACGAGGTCAGGTCTTTTATAGCGGAGGTAGGCGTGGCTTAGTAGTTGACCTCCGTCATGTAAGGCGGCGCTGGTTGACCCAGACCACGAGGCATACACTGGGGAATTCGCAGGGTCGGCTACTCAGCGACAAACAGCGTTTGTAGGGGAGAAATCCACTACAATACCCATCGCAGACTTCCATGGTCGGAAATGAATTTGAATTACGAAATATGAGTCCCAAAATAAAAATCGATTTTGATTGGGCGAAAAATACCGCCAATTAAAACACAAATCATTTTAATTTATTGCAAAAAAAAACGCTTTTGATTGGCCGCGTGACGTGTATGGGAACGCATGCGCGTGATGATTTATGAAGGAGACACGCAGTGTAGGAGGTGAGGTAGGCGATAATGGCGGAAGATTAATGAAAGAAAATAGAGAAAATTTTGGATACGCTATCTCCCTTAT